AAAGCTCAACATTTAAATGAGGGCGGCAAAAAAGATCCTCTAAGGAGGAGGCAAGAGTTGCTTGTAGATAGTGGGCTTGCTGAGGTTGGTATATAGCCTTCACTTCCATGTCTATGCATATATTCAGGTGTATGTTTTAATCTGGCTTGTGCTTTTGTGTTCTATTTGCATCTTTACCAAATTTAAAAGCTTCTAACCCCCTAAATAACCTTTCTTGTTAATCCCTCTTATTAATATTGTTGTTGAAGTTGTTATTTTTTATTATTAATAATTTATCTTATTACTACTGTTACTGCTGCTGCTGCTACTATTATTATGATTTTTATTCTTAACATGGCCTTAGGCCCCTAACATATCATTTGTTGCAGAAACTCCTTGATGTGTGCTCTGAGATGCCTGAAGAGTTACTAAGATCAAATGTTGGTAAAGATGTTGTGTTTGAGGTACTTTGAGATACTTTTCATTCATTAGTTCTCCCTTCTACACATCTGAACAATAAACAATGGTGCTTATCAGACCAAAAACAGTACCCAGTTTTCTAATAGCCTCTCCCTTTTATAAAAACACTTCAACTTAAGTCATCCTAAATGAAAACGTAATCATAGACTTTGAAATGGAAATGACTGACCGTTAATGGTTCAACTGCAATGCTTATTCTTTAAGGTCGGTGTAGGAAGAGAAACTTCCTGATATTGATCGTAAATGATCATGATCACCATGAAATATTAGTATGATCATCAGTATGATGTCCTTAACAACTAATTTCATAGATCATAAACATTTTTAGTACTATCATAATCAAATTTTAGTGTCATTATGATTTTTTTTTAGTTCTAGATCATTTTGAAATGGTAAACACTAGACCTGCACAAAACCGGGCTTGCCCGCCCGGCCCGCCCAACCGGCCCACACAAATGGGCGGGCTTGGGCATATATATTTACCGACCGGGCCGGGCCGGCCCCGGCCCGCAATAACATATGGGCGGGCTTGGGTTAGGGTGTAGGCCCGTTCGGGCCGTTAAGCCCGGCCCACTACATTTAGTATACATACATACATACATACACACACACACACACACATATATATATACTAATTTATTTATTTATTTACATGTACAAATGTATATTTGTATTTACTAATTTATCTTTATACATATTTATAGTTTATTATGCTTAAATTTAAGTTTTTAGTTCTTAAAAACTAGCCCAACTAATATAGTATCTATTTTTGTACTTGAAGGTAATACTTTGTGCTTGAATTTTAAATTTTAGATATAGTGTCTCATTATTATTATTATTATTATTGTGTAAGTATTATTTTTGTACACACACTTATATTCTATAAACATTATAAGCGTATTAACAATTTTTTAAATGTTGTAATAGTATTTTCGAAGTATTAAACAAATTATAGAATTTTTAAAAATTTAAAGATTTTCCTGGCCGCCTGGCCTGGTGGACTACCCGGCCCGCTCTTACGGGCGGGCATGGACATGGGGTTAGGCCCGTTTTTGCGGGCCGGGCCGGGCCCGCCCACACATGATGGGCGAAAAAATTATATAAAGCCCGGCCCGAGCCCGTTTTTGTGTTACACAGATTCAGGATTATGGAACTTGCAGTGTAGGTTTAATTCGATGGCTTGACTTTGTTAACTTTCTTTTCGTTTGCTAGATTGACAACAAATGTTCATTCCTTTATTGCAGTTGTGTTGACTATTAGGTTTAATCTTATATGGTGAATCCATGCATTTAGGTTGTATGTGGGGGTGCTGATGGAATTCTCAGTCACACTCTAAATATGAAATTGGAAGCCTTGTATGAAACTATAGGATCACTTGCCTCACAACCTAAACTGGAGGAGGCAGAAGAGGAACATATCCTTGAGAACTACCATTCTAGTAGGACTATCAGAAAATTAGTCTTAGAGTGCCCTGCCTTTGCTCGCACATTATATGAAAAAGCTCTAAAAGGACATTGTGAAACATGGGCGCAAGGTCACAGGTTTTTTACCCCTCTTATTCTCTTTTCTCTGTTGTCATCGGATTATTTTACCTAGGTAGGTGTATCATTATGGGGTCACCATTTGCCTGATTTTTCAGCTTAAAGGTGATGAGCGCATTTTGGGAAACCTCTGATCCTATAGTGCATGAATTGATCAATGAAGAACTGCAGCCATTGGCAGATAATGGCATTCTCAAGGTAGCAGCTCAAGCAAAAGAACTCCCTAAAGTGGTGTGACAAGAAAAAGGTAAACGAGTCTAAATGTGGATGGCTCATATGGCAATGATGTAAGAGTAAAGGACAGTAATATATACCATCTGCTAAAGAAACTGTATCCATTTGGTTCCGCTCAATTTTGATAGAATTTCTTCAGCCCATATTAATGTAATCAAACTATTTAAAGAGGTATAAATTGAATTAAGAAGCTTTCCGTTTGGGTACAGATTTGGGAACATTTCTCATTGTTTTTTGGAATTCAGTAGTGTTCATTGACCATTTATATAGTTTAAATGTGTTGGATTTTGTTACATCTCCGTTGCTGTTTCTCCAGCGAAATTTCAAGAGTCTTTCCGTTTTCAATTTGTTTGTGTAAATGTGTAATGCTGTTATTTCAAGAAGTTTATGCTGAACATGTTTTTATTTTTTAACCTAGAGCGCAAATCATATTTCTCAGCCATAGTAAAGTAGTAAACTGATTAAAAAGTTATTTTCTTTTAGGAAATAATGAAGTGGAACTACAACTTTTGATAGTCGAGTGTAGGCATGGATCGGGTTCCGGGCCGGGCTCTGGGTTTTTTGTCTGTGGCTACTGGCCTGGGGCCGGCCCGGGATTCCACTGGGTCCGGACAGGTTCATATTTTTTTTGCTTTTCTAATTAACACCCAACCCCCCACCCTCACCCCCCACCCCCAAAACACCCAGCCCAACCCGGCTACCACCGAAAAAAATGAAAGAAAAATTATAGGCCCGTACCGGTCCTAGGCCTGGAACTGGTCCTGGTTCACCGGGCCGGGTTGGTTCCGCACAGTGGCGGGCCGGTAAGATCGGAGCTGGGTCACCCATAGTCGAGTGTGCAACTATGAGATGTAACTAATTATATTTAAGAATATTACCCGAAATAGGATTTAAAAAGTTTGAAAAATCCAAATAGGATTGTCATGTTTTGGCAGTATCAGACTTCAAATATGGCAGTACTTTTCAAACTTGGCAGTAATTACTTCTATTTTGGGAATAAAAACATGACCGTTCTATTTTGGAATTTTCAAACTTTTTAGTCCTATTTCGGGAACTTTCCCATTTGTTTTGACAACAATCCAATTAATTTTTACTATTGTAACTTGGCTAAATGAATTGGCGTATTCAAGATTTTTTATTACAAGGTAGAAATAGGGATGGACCGGGCTAGGGCCGGCTAAAATTGGGACTAATTTTTTGGGCCTAAGGCCCGGGGTTCTACCGGGACTGGGTCGACCCGGGAATTTTTTTTGGCTTTTGTAATTTTTTCCTATCCCCCACACCTAGCCCAACCCACCTAGCAGAGGCCCAAAGCCAATTTTTTTTTGCCCGAACCGGTCTCGGACCGGCCGGTCCCCTCTTTTGCAATCCCGTAGCCCGTTGTTACAGTCCCCCGGTTCGGGCCTAATGGACCGGTCCCGATTGGCTAGCCGGGCCGGTCGAACCGGTCTTGGTCCATCCCTAGACCCTAGGTAGAAATCGCACTAGAATTTATCTCACGCATGTGAGCATGTCACATATTTGATCATATCAAAATGACAGAATGACTTGAATCAAATGCTTCCACATCTCAAGAACTTTACTAAAAAGTAAAAGGAAACTGGGCAATTTTAAACAAAAATATAACTTCAGTCAAAACTGTTTTGTGAAACTAAGGAATATTGAGTTTTCTAGGTGTATTTAGGGATGGACTGGTCCCGGTTCAGGACCGGGTCCGAGTCAGGCTTAGGGCGGGACCGAGTTTGGGAAATGGAGGCCCGGTACTGGGCCGTGCCCGGGTCGGGTACCATTTTTTTTTTTGAGTTTTTGTTTATTAATTCTAACACCCCCCAACACCCCCAAACCACCCAGCTGAACCCGCCTCTTACCCAAACCATTCGAAAAAACCAAAAAAAAAAAATTGGGCAATTCCAATAGGTCTGCAACCCAAGCCCGTCCCCAAAACACCCCTGGGTCCAATCCTTTGTCCGGTCCCACAAAGTAGCAGTCAGGGCCGGGTACCGGGCCGGTCAGACCTGTCCCGGTCCATCACTAGGTGTATTGTGTGAATTACAATAACATTACAAAAGGAGAAGTTCTGTTCTAGTTTGTGAGATTTTTTTTCGATATTACATATTAATTGATCCTAATTTAGTAAATAAAAAACTTGATACATGTTCTATATTATTTCAAAATGCTACAAGTTAACAACGGTGCATGTTTTTGGTGTATGTTCTATATGTTTTTGTTTTGTCAAAAAACAAACGTGTATGTTTTTGGTACGGAAAATTCATTTTTCTTGCACAAGTTGATGTACTTGATCAGAGATATCGAGTATGAAGTGATCCATGAGAACATGGAAATAACAAGTTTTAAGAAAACCATCATTAAAGATGAAAAGTGGTTTAACCAATTCACACGTTTGTTGGAATCCACATTCCGTCTATTCACTACCATTAGAGCATCTCCAATGCTACAATGTGCACGGTGCACATGTGGCATGAGAGAGAGACACAAAAATTGATTTTATGACATTTCTCTCTCCGTCTTTCCACTGTCTTATGTGTTTTTGGTAAGTTTTTCTCTGCAATGTCAACCACATTATCTACATCTAGACATTGTGCTTGACATTGTGAAGAAAAACTTACCAAAATGATATAAGATCCTTCAAATAAGGAGAGAGATATTTTATTTATTGTTTTTTGATTGGCTATCTCTCGTGCCACGTATGCACCGTTGACGTATTAGCATTGAAGATCTCTTAGATGCGGTTAGCGTATGGAATTATTAACATGCAACCCAATCTAGACAAGTATTATTAGGCAGCTCCATTGAGAAGGCATTGCATTGGATGATAAATTTGAATCCGAGGTCTAAGTACCCATAAGTCCATAACCCTTTAAAGTATACATAACCCTCCCAAATATCAGCCTATTCATGAAAACTCTTGTTTTGATAGCTAGGCGTCTACCTCATATCAATAAACTCAACAAGAACATCATCCAAGCCTCGTTTCAATAACTACAATAAACATTTTACTTCTATATTTAGTAAATAAAAACGGTAAGTGTTGTAACGTTTCCATTAGTAACATTGCCAGAGTAACAAGAGCATTGACCTATTGTGTGCGGCTAAGTGTTTGTTCATCCATGAAATTTCTCAAGAGTTGCAATGACTGATGATAGAGATTAAGGTCCATGCCATCCACATTTCTTCCTACTCGTGCTTTCAAGATCGCCTGAAATTATAGACAACAATATGATTACTAAAACACCACCAAGGGTGATATCATTTTATTCCTCTAACTAAATAGTACTAGTACATCTCAGATACGAGAAATCAACAAAGATGGATATAGGATATGACAACATTAGCACAATAAATACGAATGTTTGGTTTTGAGTGCTGATACTAGGGAAAGGTTCAGTGAAAAATTGGACTCAAAAGGTGAAATTGCCCACCCCAACGGCATGCATAAGCTCATAACTCATTGTTCTTTAGAAGGGGAAGGGAGCCCAGTGCCTGGTGCACACTAGGAGCCATTGGTTGGAACTTCCACAATGCCCCAGAGACCTAGGACTAAACACCCTATTGAGGACCACTTGAGCTACCCCTGACGCAGTTTCAGTAAACCTAAATCACTCAACATTACTCTTGAAGTGGATAAATAAAGGAGTATTGATAGGAAAAGGTTCAGTAAAACCTAAAATCACCCAAAAATCACTCTTGAAGTGGTTAAGTAAAGGAGTGTTGATGTGGAAAGGTCAAGTAAAAATGAAATCACCCAACATCACTCATGAAATGGACAAGTTAAAGTGTATCAAACTAGCTACTTCAAGGTCTTCTTAAACCATAGCATTTTCCTAAATACTTCCCTGACTTTCTCACCAACCCTATCACTATTCTTTCATTTTGCCTTGCCTCAAGAGTTAGGAACAAAGCTCTTGGTTTTATTCTTCTCCTAGAAGATGAGAAAAAGAACATGATATGTAAAATGATTAAGGTTGAGGTATGGTGCGTAGAAACCAAGATGCAGATAATAAGCAAATTATCATACCTCATTACTGGGATCAATATGCAGTTCTCCAATGAATTGGTAGATGGAACCAGGGCGAATATTGACATTCAAGTGCTGTGTGTCTATCTTTAAAGAGGCATTCCCATCAACAACTACTGCACATGCCGTCTGGACATCATAATCTTGTAGCCTAAGTTGGAGAAAGGTTCTATCCATTATCAGTTGTCTTACCCTTGGGGCAAAGTTTTTAAGGCTTGGATCTTTTTTATGAGTAAATGTAGAAGTGAGATTAATAAGCATAAATTGTTTTACATCATAAGTTTATAACTTGTAACTTGAGCTGAAATTTGAAATCTTTACTTGAAGACTTCTAATAAATCAGGGGGGAAAAATTGTAAAAAAAAGGCAGATTACTCACTTCCCGGTGACTCTGAGTGAGGCCCCTTGCTTAAAGAACGGAGAAGAGGGATTCAACTCTTGTAACATTACCAGCGCACCAGCTTTGATTGCAGATGCCGCCATTCTTCAGTAACTGTCGACAAAATGCATACCGTAAACCGATTTGACAGGGAAAAACCGAAACAGATTAGCAATTGAATATAGAGTGCATAAAGCCTTGGGCCGCGTAGCAGATAGATATGGAGTATTTCAATTTGATGGAGAGATGAGCTGATGAGTCACATATGAGCGACCTTTCCGTTTAACCTCAGTTTTGGCTCTGCGCGACCAGATCAGAACCGAGAGGAAAGAGTCAATTGACTATTTTTAATAAGATTGAGTTGGCTGATAGAATGTTCAGTAAAAAAGGAGTAATAGACAAAGGTCACGAGATCACCTTCGGGAAATCGACTAAAAAGAGAAAATGGATCTCCAGAGATAGACCTACTGGAAGCGTCGACCAGCGTGGGTGCATCTAACCAAGGGGAAATTGACTTGTGGGGGCAGTGGCGGAGCCACTCTTGTTCACATATAGATGTAAATTTAATATAGTTATTTATTGCTATTTAAATTTCTAGTTTCAAAAAAGAATTGAACACCCTAAAATTAAGTTCTACCTATTGACATTCTATTAGCCAACTTAACTATAGCGTGTTAATTTAACAGTTGTACTCAAATAACAATAAAAAACTGAGTTGTGTACTTAAAAATGTCAAATGCAATATAATGTTCTCATTTTGTAAAAATTGAATTGGTCGTGTAATGACTTGGAACATGTACGGTTCGGTTCGGGATACAATTTGAAACTTTATTTTCAGGTTCGACATCATAACATACCAGTCTAGTGCGGTACAATGTCGGTTCAATTTTTTTATTGATCTCTATGAAGTCCTGATTGTCGAGTCCGTTTTTCAACTTATCAGTCAACTGTTTTATCCAACACGTAACTTTTGATTTTACGTGCTGAATTGTGTCATAATCATAATAAGTTAGGTTACTTTTCTGGTTGCATTGATTGCACTCATATAATGTACGTAATGAGCAGAATCAGTCAATCTAACCACTTAGCTAAACTTTATAAATTTTAGTAGAATCATCTGATTCAGTCAATTCCACCGTTATCAAACGAGCTCTAAGCCTTAGAAAGACTACTCTGTGAACTCTTCTTTACTACATGCTTTGATCTTGAATCAATTTCCACCTCATATCCATTAAACTCAAGTTAGTTAAAAATCATAATGTTAAATTAAAGAATTTTTGTTGCAGTCTATGAATTTGGAACATCTTTTTTGTCTTCAATGGTAGCTAAGCTTCCAAATTTCGCATTTGCCAAATCAACGAGTTTAAAGCACAACTAATTAAGGACTCGCTAAGCAAAAAACACACTAACCAAGCCGAGTGCTATAGCAGCAAGCAGCGAACTAGTAAAGCAAAATATACTGCATATAGATGAACTATTGAATCTATCTTTACTTTGGCCCGGTCGATACTGGTTCTCCTTTTGTAAAAATGAATTGGTCGTGTAATGATTTGGAACATGTACGGTTCGGTTCGGGATACAATTCGAAACTTTATTTTCAGGTTCGACATCATAACATACCAGTCTAGTTCGGTACAATGTCAATTCAATTTTTTTGTTGAGCTCTATGAAGTCCCGATTTTCTTAAATGTTAGTCTAACTTAATGGAACAGGTAGTAATGTAGTACTTCCTCCGTTCTTAAATAAGTGCAACACTTTCTTTTTTCGTCAGTTTCAAATTAAGTGTAACATTACTATTTTGGGAAAGAATTAATATGTGAATTGACTTTTATACCCTCATACGCACTCTCCATTTATTCAGGTCTGACATCTTTTAATTTCTCCATCCACCACCACCTACTTCTTTCACTCCTCTTTACAGCCAAAAGCTCTCTTCCGTGTCTACATCTCCTCCAGACTCCAATTTTATCTTCCCACCATCTCAAGTCTCAACCATTTCTCTATTTCTTTACCATCTCCATCTTTGATTTTTTTTCCCACAAATTAGAATTTTAACTACTGGCGAAATGGAAGGCATGGAAGAAGATGAAAGTGATATTGCTCCGGTTACTCCCCACGAGATATTACTTCCGACTTGGTGGTTCCGGATATTCCGCCACACGTTCTTGCAGAAAGAGAGAAAAAAAGTTACCATCTAAGCTTCTTGTCGTCCAATTTTCTGGTGAAGAAGGAGCCAAGGAAATTAACAGTGAAGGAGGACGGAGGATGAAGTGTACGCGAGTGCTTTTTGCTTTTGTGGCTATAATGCATTGTCCACTATTAGCAGTTACTTTATTTGTCCACCTTAGTGCAGTTATTATATCCGCATAGTCAAAGGGTAAAACAACCAAGTTGAAGACTTTTTCATTGCTTCTTAATTTGCGTGCCCAAGTGCATGTTGCACTTAAAACCGAACAGAGGAAGTATATACTTTACATACCCTCCTCCCCATTGAACATTGACAAATTTCTCTTTTTGATTATTCAATATGTTTTTGTTTTTTTTAAAAAAAAATCAAAATTTATTGATGAAAATAGAACAGAAGTACATGATGGGGGGACTATGCCTTATCCAAAGAAAACAAGAGTGGAAAAAAGTGAAATAGCAAATCAATGTGATAAAAAAAAAGCCTATGCCACCAAACTGGGCCAAAAGAACAAATCCTAAGACATCAGAAGGCCCATATTCCGGAACTCCAAATCAACACTCTTTGCTACCGATTCCCAAGCCAAAATAATCAAGCCCAATAACATGTTATCAAATCATACTGCTCAATATTTTTTGTTACTTTCACATTAAAGAACTAATTTGCGAGTCTATTTATTTCTCTCTTCACAAACTTCATCTAATTCAAAGTGCAATGTTCCATGTGATATATAGTGATATAGGAGTTTTTCCCAAAATAGTGCTACATAAAAAAATCATTTACGAGGGTGAGAATAAACTCACATTACATGGGACCAGATTCACAATCTGTTATTACAACAAAAAATTATGAAAGTTCAATTGATTAAGTATAATGGTAAAAATAAACTCACTTTAATTTCTGTATCACATTTTTCTCTCTCTATCACAACTAAAGGATGTTCTGATATCATGGATCATGGATCGATGTTGTTGTTGTAGTATCACAACTAAAGGATAATATGCAACTTATTTCAAGTGTAAAAAGTGAATACTGAATATGAACAATTTTAATTTTTTTATACATTACTATAAAATACTACGTTACTACGATAGTAACAATCTCTAAATTTAATATACACTTCATAACATTGTTCTGCTACGTACTTTTATATTAAGGAGATATTACGCCTTAATTATTTATAGATTCCGTTTGAGACAAGTTAATTAGTCTTGTCATTTAACTTTTGTTTTTAATCACACTTAGCTTCTGATTTCGTGGTTAAAAAATGTACACTGGGATAGTGGGTGCTTTGTCATTTCTGCTTTCTTAGGTTTCTGGACATAAGGTTAAGTTATCAAGCCATACTTAAATGTATGGTCTAACTCAACCCTAAAAGGGCTCACAAGAAAAGAAGTACGGAGTATGTATTGCTAAAATACTTTGTTGTTAACAGTTTTATTATTCATTCATATTTGCTAAACTAGACCCTAGAAAACTCTCCAACAGCTTTGTCATTATCAACATCCTTGTTCTGAGCATCCTGCAATTAACAAATAAAATGTCCGAATCAATTACTTAGAATAGTGGATGACCAAATGTCACAATCAATTACTCAACAGAATATTGGATTATCAAATTCATAAAATTTGAATGAAGCTTACCTCAAATAATTTGTCTAATAGCATCCGTTGTTCCTTTAAACCACTCTATTCCAGTTACCCCTCGTGTTTGGGTTGCTACCAACTATATTTACACGTACATACATCATTACGGATTCAACAAAATTGGCTGCAAAACATTCAAGACAGATTAGCTAAAGAAATTTGGTTGCTGCTCCACATATGCATCTTATAAGACTCGGGTTGCAGTTTTTTTTTAAATGCAGTTTTGTATATTAAAATACAAAACACATTTTGTCATCTATTTATATGACAATATTTTCACATCACACTTAGATATACACATTATATAAAAACATCATACAACACATTATACATTTATAAAGCTTATACATTATTATATACAAGTACATTATGTCAATAACTTAGCGACATAAAGTTTAAATTTACCTACATCTTCTGATATATTAGTATAATAGAAAGAAGAGTATTCAAAAGCCCACTGGGCAAAGCAAAGTGGACATAAAAGGATCCTTACATCCAGGGGCGGAGCCAAGACACTGGGCCGGACTGGGCCGATACAAAGAATATTTTTGGGAAAAAATTTACACAGAATTTTTTACACTAAAAATGTAGACATTTTTAAAATTTGGGCTGGGCCAGGGTCAGGGTTGGCCCTCCCCTAGCTCCGCCCCTGCTTACATCCTTGCTAAATGCTCATAACTCCTCTATTTTGATAGACAGTTACACAGTCCCGATACACAAAAAAGGGAGAAAGAATGTAAAGATAGGATAACATGCGTATATCTTCGGAGATTACTCGGGTAATATAATTAGTGAGACTAATATTAAGTAAGGGTCTAATATCCTCACTGACTAAGGCATCTTAAATATGATGTCTGCTGAATGACTGAATCTAACCCTAGCATTGGTTAAAGAACATTTTAAAATCAAATACAAATATGATCTAATATATGACTGTAAACTGAATAGGGTTACCTCATTGAGGACAACCGTTTCTTAAAGGGAATCATATATTGATTATGCCTCATCTTTCTGAGGCAAATGAGTGTGCCGCTAGCTTCTGTGTTCGACTTTATTGTCTTTGAGGATCCATAGCATCCCTGATTGTTGAAAGAAATGGAAGACAACTGTGTTAACATTATAAGAGGCAAATATCTATAAGACTAAACTACAGATTTTAAACATCAAGAAAACCCACCGATTTTTACCACAACATAGCCCCAAAGGAAAACTCAATAATTAAAAATCTTCACCAAATATCTAGAAGACTAAAAAAAATCTAGAAGACTAAGCAACACTTACGCGATCGACTTGAAAGTTTGTCTTAGGGGGATGCATGCCAAATGAGTTTAACCAAGCGATCCTGTAAAAACTATGGAGCTGAATGCTCCTGTAATAGTATTCCAACAATAATAAAAAAATATTAAGGAGCTGGATGCTTTTAGTTGCTATGGTAAAAGAATTACCTTTAAAAAATCCAAATATAAACCTTGAAGGAGGTGAATGCTTCATCATAAACCTTGAACCTTATCAAATTAATTAATAGTAGGGAAAATTGTTAAATAAGCCTGGTACTGAAGCAAAAACAGGAAATAAGACCCCGTACTAATGTACTATAAAATCACCCAATCAAACTATAAAGAAACCAATCCCTCATTATAGCGATCAACAACCGTAGCCTGTTAAAAAACGTGCCACCCAACCAAGTTTCTTGCTAGCCATCCAATGTAAGATCCAGGTCGCCGGAAGGGACACTGAGCAGAGCAGGAGAGGAGGCCAGCAGCAAATTTTACCAGAAGTAAGCAGCAATAGAAGGTGAGGTCCATTAGGGCCCTTGCTACTGTGCTCGCCAGTGGGGATGTACTCACCAAGCCTCTATGTGATCTGATTTGTTGTGCATCACTACGGATTCTGTCTGCAGCTGAAGCTTTGATGTCCTTTTCCTTCGAAGCGACTAGAGACGCCGGTGAACAAGGAGGTGGATGGATACAACAAATAGAGCAGTGGATGGGTCGAACAGCGATGAAGATTAGTCTTCCAGTCGCTTCTCACCTACTCTGTCTTCTTCTTTCTGCATCTAGGCGGAGGCTGGGCTTGGGACGATGACGATGAGCAAAGAATTACCGACGTTTGGCTAGCACATCTCATCTTCTTCTGTGACTCACTGATACTGCTCACATCTTCTTCCCTCAAATCAGCAACGGCGGTAATGGATTGATGAGACTGAAGCAATTCCGCCGGCGAAGAGAAAGGGTGCCTTGTCAGGTTGATGGGGAACAGGCAAGCAGGGAAAAAGTTAACGCCATATGGGATCCACATCAACGGCTAACAGGCTAACCGATTTGTAACCGGCTAAGATGCGAGATTGAGTATATATGTTTTGAAAGCTTGGAGGTTTGATCGGGTGATTCTGTAGTACGACTGTACAAGGGCTTCATTTCTTCTTGTACTATAGTACGGACATATTTAACACTTTTCCTTAATGGTACAAACATCTTCAGTTCCCAATCCTCTAGAGTTCAATGGGTAGGAAGAAGTCCTATTTCACCAGTAATCGCCACAAGAGCATGTGCCGTCTTTAAAATGATGGAACCTATTTGCGTCCCTCACAACAATAGTTCTCTCAGTGATCTTTGAAATAAACCTAGTGAAGTTATGACAATCAATGCAGACCCTTAGATTCTTGATTATCCTGATTTCAGATCCAGGTTCAGAAGTTATGAGCCCAAAAGAAATGGCTAGCTTCTCACTATGAACTTTCACCATTAGCTCCTTTTCCTCCTCTTCCACATCATGCAATGATGTGCTAGTCTGTGCCTTAAATCCAGCCTCTCTCGCCCTTTCCATCAATTCCTCAAGCTTCGCATAAATGGCAGCAGATTGAGGGTGTGACTGGTCACTGGATTTAAAGACATATGGATGTCCATCAACCTCAATAAGAGTACATCCGGGAATTTTAGCTAACTTTCTCTTTTTAACCATTTGCCTCACTGACGCAGCCTGAGGATAATTGTGGTCTGCAGAATATATGTTTGATAGAAGCACGTAGTAACCAACATTTTCAGCATCCAAATGAAACAGTTTATCAGAGGCCATGCTAGCTAGATTAGTGTCCTTGTGGATCATGCAAGCAGCTAACAAAGCACCCCATTCTGCTGGACCTGGTTCCACAGGCATCCCATTTATGAAGTTCAGGGCGTTTTCTAGTTTCCCAGCTCGGCCAAAAAGGTCCACCATGCAAGCATAATGTTCAGAAACTGGCTTAATACCATGATTATGGACCATGGAATAGAACATTTTCTCACCTTCTTCAACCAAACCAGCATGACTACAAGCATAAAGTAGGGAAAGAAAAGTAACTCCAGTTGGGTGAACCCCAGAGCTAAGCATTTCCTCAAAGAGCATCAGTGACTCGCACCCTAATCCATGCTGTCCATAACCAGAAATCATTGCATTCCAAGTCACTTCATTTTTCTCCAGCATAGCATCAAACAATTGTCGAGCTATCTCAATGTTTCCACACTTAGCATACATGTCAACTAAAGACGTTAGAACATAAACGTTAGACTCCAAACTCTCCTTGTTTATCAATTGATGGACCCATTTTCCAATGCTTAGAGCTCCAAGTTGCGCACAAGCTGAAAGTATACTTGTGATTGTGACAGGATTGGGATGGATATCTAATTTTTGCATTTCAAGAAAGAGAGATATTGCCCTTTCTGTCAGACCATTTTGTGTATATCCGGATATCATAGCATTCCAAGATGCCAACGTTTTCTCCGAGGCCTCATCAAATAGCTGCCTGGCAAATTCAATTTCATTCAGGCGACTGTAAACTGTAGTGAGCGCAGTAGAAACCGAGGGATTTCCAATCATACCTGTTTTTACACACAGACCATGTATTGAACAGCTTAAATCTAGATGACCAAAAGGACAGGACACGGGAATCAAACCAACAATAGTACTAGAGTTGATTTTCTCTTCTGAGGCAAGCAAATCATTGAATAGCCTCACTGAATATTCAGTCTTATTATTAAATGAAAACCCAGCAATCATTGCATTACATGAAATCAAATCTGGTTTCCTAATTTGCTCAAACAACATCCAGCCGGTTTTAACATCACCACATCTTGAATATGCCGATATAAGCCCTGTAATCACAAATTCATGAAAATGTAACCCAACCTTTACCACCAAGCAGTGAACCATCACCACCAGCTGCAATGCCTGCAGCTCAGCCACAACCGTAAGAACCACTGACAATGTCGTAGAATTGTATTGAGTCCCACTCACAACCATATTACGGAAAGCCCGCATTGCTTCATCAAAACAACAATTCCTGGAGAGCCCACAGATCATAGTGTTCCAAAGCACACTATCCCGACATGGAATTCTATCAAACACCTTGTATGCGTGACCAATTCTCTTAAAGCTCGTATACATATCCACCAATGCAGACCCAACAAACAAATCCGAGGCATAACCGGAAACTATTACTTGTGCATGGAGCAATACGGCAAAACTCTGATACCCAGAAAAAGAAATGCCTGAAATAATGAAAGCGTACGTGTAATTGTCGGGTTTTAGTCTTGTTTTACAGCAAAGGTGATGGAACATGGAGAGAGAATCAAAAGGCAGGTTGTTCTGAGAGAACCCTCTGATAAGAACATTGTACAGAAATAGGTCAGGGGGATTGGTGCAGTTGAAGGCGTTGAAAATAAGTTTGGCATGGGATATGGCTTGGAGATCGGAGAACCTCTGGGTCAGCTTAGTAACGGCAATAAGGTCGTTGCTAAGGCCGTGGTGGATCAACAGGGCGTGAGTTTGGCTGAGCTGAGAGACGGTCGCAGCCTTGGTGATTAAGCTGAGAAAGTAGTTTCTGTCTCGCGATCGGGTGCCTGCGGCGACTCTGCAAAGCATTGCGGGGCGGGGAGTTGCGAAGAGGTACAGAAGTGCGCGGGAACGGGAGATCTACTGCAAACAATTCCTCATTTTTTAGTTTATTTAGAGATCAATTTGAGGATGTAGGGGATTTTATTGAGATCAGAAAATGAGATTATTATGTGAGATTCTTGAGCAGAAAAATCTAATACTAATATACACAATTCAAAAATCTTACTTTGACAATGATTTTCTACTTGTATACATAATCAAATTGTTACGTATAAAATATTATTGAATTCCCATCAATGTGAATTTCCAAAATATCAACTTTTTTATAATGTTTACTAATACATAATTAAATATAATTACAGTCAAACTTGTGCATTGTCAAACGTGAAAGTCAAACTGTTGCAAGAATTGAAGAACGGAGGATTGTATCAAATTTTAAATTTAGATTGATTTGAGATTATTTTCAACTTTTTCATTTTCCAAGGCTTTGAAATTTGTGAAGTATGTGATACTTGCAACAACCAGCCCATCTTGTTAATACTTTAGCACATCTAATTGGTGTGATAGAGCAATTAAATCTCCCATAAAAAATTGTAGTAAATGGAGATCATTGTTGAGGGGAAGTTAATAGATTATGAGATTATTTAAGATTATCATATGTGGCGATGATGTGGCAATAATGATCCATAAATTGAATAGAGATGCTCCAAGTCATGCCCCCTCCTCCAGAACACTGCCCGAGAATAGTGATTTTTTCCAAGTTAAAACTTTAGAAAATACTCCCTTGTTCCGGAAAATTTTCTCCATTTGACTTGGATTGAAGTTTTAAAAAGTAGAAATAAAGTGAAAATGTATGATTGTGGTTAAGTAAGAAAAATGCAAATGAATAATAGCCACACAAACATTTCCAAAAGAGAAATGATAAGAATATTTTGGACATTCCGAAAAGATAAATGAGAAAAAAAAATTGGGACAAAGGTAGTAATTGTTTTAAGGATTGTCATTTCTGTTTTAGAAAGTAATTGATACTCCACTAATTTTAAATGACTAATTAATTTAATTGCATTATCATATACATAGTATGTCCACTCGAATTATTTATCTTAATCAATATACACTCAAATCATCGTATTTAATGTTTTTGAGAAAATTTATTTAATAATTGTCTAAATATTGTATTATTTTTACAACAGATAAATACAATTGTTTAGATAAGGAGAAGGTCACATGTTCGAAACTCATCCTACTCAAAGATATTGACATTTAACATTCAAGTATTGAACAGATACTATAAAAGATTAGAAAGCTCATTCATAAAAAAGATGAGGGTGGAGCGCCATCCTATAGTGGGGACTTTATGGCGAAATTCACAAGAATAATTCATACTTTTATGGATTCTATAATAATAATCCATACTTTTATGGATTCTATAATACATAGTAATAATTCATACTTGGAGTGTCTATAAATGTAATCCGTACTAGCAATAGTGTCCATAAGAGTAAGTGTTGGAAGTATTAAACGGGACTCAATTTATTCTTATAAACACTATAGCTAGTTCGGATTATTTTTGTGGACGCTCTCAGTAGATATTATTATTGTAGAATTCCTAAAAGTACGGATTATTCTTGTGAATTTCGCCAGACTTTATTGTGTGAAAATGGAAAATTTTAGAATATTCCGTCATGCATGCTTTATTTTCTCAAGAGGAAGTTATTGTTATTCAAAGCAAACCTCTAAATTTGCAAGTGAAAAATGAAAATGCCGATACAAAAGGCTGATTCACGGTATGGAGTTTGTTATTGGGGACTTGAAGGAGAAATCTAGTCATCCTACTAGACACAGTTACCTGGAATTTCTTGTTACCTCCTAAAATGAAACAATTCTTTTTTGTCAGTTGGTAGCGGGCATTTTGCCCACAATTGATGTATCAAAACACATGTTGGTTTAGGTGCTAGGAGATTGCTTGATCTGTAAAGTGGAGGACGAATCGGCCTTCATTTGTTTTTAAGCGGTGAAGGAAAGAAAGCATGGTATTGAGCAGCAGGTTGGGAAACAACAATTTGTTTCAAGTGGCCCTAGCGTTGCCACAAATTAGATACAGATTCAATCAAGTGATGTTAGAACTAGGCCGGTCAACAGGTCGGGTCCAGTCTCCAGACCCGAACCCGACCCGGATCCGTCTTTTTTTAATGGGTATGGGTCTACATTTAATTCCGTTACCCGGACCCGGATCTGGACCCGTTATTTGATGAGACGGGTATGGTATATGTAGTTCCGACCTGTTTAGGACCCGACCCGTTAATTCTTATTTGTATATATACATTAGTCTAATATACCTGTTAGATTAGCTGCCACCCACATTATGATTTAGTTTAATAAATCCTAAGAAGGATCCCTAAGCTAGAGTTTCTAGACCGCAGAGGATTCAAGAAAAAGCTTGTCCAGTTTCCAAAGTCATTAATTTTACTCTTTATTTTAACACTACGTATCTTGCAAATTATAAACAAACTCAAAATTCTCAAAGAAGGCAAAATTATTCTACACTTGTAGTAGAAGAACACTGGAAGAGTCATAATTCTAGTACCAGGATGTTTTTGCAGAATGTAAATTATTAAAGGAATGCTCTTTTCAAAGTGAAATCAAGTTAATCAACTTACGCTTTTGTAATTATGCTATTTTAAAAGTCAGATGGAGTTATTTTATTTTTTGTTATTTTTATTATCACAGATTCAAAGAGGCTTTTGGCCTGGATAACTTATGTTTTTGCAGTTGCCCAATGCACCTTATTCGTTACATTAAACTTACGTTTTTGTAGAACTTATGTTTATTCCCCCGTGGCAAAACCAGTGCACCTTATGTGTTACATTTTGAATGTGTAGATCTGGAACTTTCATGTTTAAATTGTTACTTTTGGTTGAGTAGTTACTAACAAGTAATAATAGTTCATGTACCATATTGTTGCCAGAAAAGTACTCGGTAGTAAGAGATCATGTTTTTTATTTAAGAAATTAGAATTGGATTTTCGTGAGACGGGTCAGGTCTACCCGACCCGGTTCCGAGACCCAATGGGTATGGGTCCGGAACATTAGTTCTAGGCCCGCCGGGTATATGGGTCGGGTCTGGAACCCTGTAGAAGCTAACGGGTCCGGGTCTGGGATACTATGTTTCGGCCCGTACCCGACCCATTGACAAGTCTAGTTAGAACCGGAAGGTGAGCGTGAAATTGTGACGATGCATACCAATCTATTAAGTAATAATTTTTTATGCTGAAACTAAAACATTCACTACTGATCTATGGAATATGTATTATGTACTCGTATATGCATAACATACAGAATTGATTTCTTCTTGTGATCGCTAGAGTAGACAAATGATTTTTTTGCTTACGATTACATGCAGATGGGAGTAGGGCTGGACTCGGTTCGGGCCGGGCCTAGGCCCGGTCGGGCCTCCGGTCCGATAAAGGGGGCCCCGGAACCGGCCCGTCCTTCGCCCGGTTCCGGTTCGGGCCTAGGTTATATTTTTTTTTATCTTTTTAATACAACTTAAATATGAAATACATTTTTCAAAAAATACTAATACAATAAATTCTAAGTTGTAAGTTGTATGTTTGTAACCAATTAATTAATTAATTAATTTGAGAAGTGCTACATATAAAAAAAAAGAATGTATATTTATTTGAAATATGAAATACAACTTTACAAATTACAATAGAGAATTGAAGGAAAAATTAAAACATGAAATACATTTTACAATAAACTGTAAAATATTAATCAATCGGAATCTCCGGCATAGGAGCCACCCTCGGTTGTTGATTCATCCATAAAGTCTTGGGAGGGGATGATGCTAACTTCTTGACATCTACGTATGGCCTTCAACCAATCGTGGTAGCATAATAGCGTCTCAAGAGACTCAGCGCTCAAACTTGTTCTAGATGCCGTTAGAACGTTGCCGGCCGAACTAAATTCTTGTTCCACGGCAACTGTTGAAACCGGCATTGATAGCACTTGCTTAGTCATCTGTGCCAAAATCGGGAACATTCTTAGCCAAAAGGTTGGTCATTTGCAAACCTCAATATTTGAGTTTGCTTCCCCTTCCCTTTGTCTATTTTCGCATACTCCATAGAGTGCGCGGACTTAAGATGCCTTTTGAGGCTCCCGTATCCGCCGGAAGTTCCCAAGCTATACTCCTTCTTGCAATGATCGCAACTTGCGTACCATTTATCGGTTTTTGGGTCTTTCCTCTTTGTAAAATTATTTTCTATAATAGGAGATTTAGATTTCTTACCAACTTGGGATGGACCGCCCTCATCCTCCAACTCTTGCTCATCATCCGGGGTGCCGTGAGTCCCGTCGCCCCCCTCGTCCTCCTCCGCATCGTCATCCTCGAGCTCCTCTTCATCAATGGACTCCGGATGTTTTGTTGTTGGAAAAAGCGACCATCATTTTTCGCCAATAGTTGTTGTAGTTTCTCGTCGGACATCGCATCCCCATCTCGCCTTTGGTATCCCTCATCAAAATCTTCTCGACTTTGAGAAGAAGACCCGGCCCGCCCTTTACCTATGCCTTTGCGTAAACTAGGATGACTTGTCGCAATCTCCTTCCTTCGGTTGCGTTGGAGACTACCCACATCTACGGAATGTCTGGCACGGTCCATCTTTAAAATGTAACAAATATTATATGATATCAAATGTTTTGATATGAGTACAATAGTAATAATAAAATGCGACTAATAAAATTAACTACTTTTATTAGTTTAAACTTTAATGCAACAATTAATAATTAACTAGTTATATACTTTAATGAAAAATATAACAATTAACTAGTTTTATACTTTAATGAAAAATGTAACAATTAACTAGTTTTATACTTGAATGAAAAATGTAACAATTAACTAGTTTTATACTTGAATGAAAAATGTAACAATTAACTAGTTTTGTACTTTAATGAAAAATGTAACAATTAACTAGTTTTGTACTTAAATGAAAAATGTAACAATTAACTAGTTTTATACTTGAATGAAAAATGTAACAATTAACTAGTTTTATACTTTAATGAAAAATGTAACAATTAACTAGTTTTATACTTTAATGAAAAATGTAAAAATTAACTAATACGATGAATTTAATTACTATGAATTCAAGTGTAACTAATA